AATTGTGCATTCGGATCTTCTTCAACCATTGTTGCCGCATTAGTTATATCTATCTTCGCAGGTGTATGTGCAACATCGATTAAGTCGTTATCTTCAGTGGAATCCTGCATATATAAAATACAAAATTAGTGTAAAACAGTAAAGAACATATAGTTACTAAAGATTTATTAATTTATGCCCTACAAATAATTTAATCAACAGAATGAATAATGTAAAAAATATTAATACTGTGTTCATACATTCCTATGGAAAAAACAAAGTGAATATCTACAACTTTTAAAGTTATTAGAAAACTACTCCAAATCTGAAAATTTATTAAGAAAGAAATCATTCAAGATATGTAAGTAGCTTTATTGTTAAAGGACAATTTAGTTATGTATTTACCTCGCATTCCTTCTCTCCATCCAACACTTGATTATTATTGAAGTCAGGTTCCTATCAAAAATTAATAAATAAAGGAGTTTGAAATAATGATTTAAATTGTGAAATCTAAAGGAAAATTGCAATTTAAATATGTTATGAAGTTTATGAACAAATATGACATACAGTTAAGTCATCCGGAGGTTGATCAAGACTGTATTTGTTAATCAGTTGCTCCTCATCCGTAAGTTTAACAACACTATAAACTTCCTTTTGCAGATGAATGTTCTCTCTCTTGACAATAACCTTAAACATGAATTTTCTTTGGAGAATATTGTTCAGCTCTACTGGATAGGGATACTTATCAACAGCGACAGTATTCTATAATAAAATTTTGAGTTAGAATTTTCCAAATAAAAAATATTAATTTAATTAGTTGATATACCTCAAGAAACCCTTCCTTCAATTCTTTTGCGGATTTGCCTATGAGAAACATGGTTTCACGGTCCCACAGCAATAGGGAAACAGATCCAGTAGTATCCATTACCCTAACCTGAAGCTTGTACCTAAAGGCACACTTCATTTGAGATATAATTGTAAGTTTTTGATGGATTAAGGAAATAGAGCTGTTGCGTTTACCTAATAACTGTTGAGTAATCTTCATGTTTACATTTGGTGTTTGGGCATTGATAAATGTTTCCTACTTTATCCACCTTTTTTTGACACTTCTTGCAGCTGACATACGACCATCCTTTTCCAAGTTCTAAATTTTCTATACTTGCGACAATCCAACATGGACCTTCCTGTTGAATAAATCGATGAGACAATTGTTGAATATATTGATAAGACAAATGTAATGAAAAGACATAGAGAATATGGTCTATCAGAATATCAAAGAAAAAACATAAATGTAATTTAAGAATTTTTCATCTTCCAAATGAGCAAACACTAAGAGAGAAGATAAATATAATGTAAGAACTAACATATTGTAAAACCTCAATAACTTTTTAAAACCATAAAATAAGAGAAATAAAGATGTGCATTTTGCCAATTTTAACATGAAACACGAGTTAAATTAATACTACAGAAGTTAGTTCACTCACTTGCATGGACTCCACTAATTGGCCAATTGTTTTAACTTGAACAATGCCCTTCTCCAACTCATCCGAGACAGAGTAACTTTGTTGAGAGATGGTTTGAGTCAGCCTCTCGGAGTTATTATCTCGAACAGTAAGTAATCTGTATTTATAAATGAGTACAACAGTTAGATGTATAGTTGAAAAATTGGTGTTCAGTATAGAAGCAGTAAAATTTTATATATGTAAATAAATATATATATATATATATATTTTGAACCGTGTTTTAAATTCGTCAGATTGAGGGAAATTTGGATTAATCCACAGCTTTGCGCACAGAATATGAATCTACAAAACAACGTTCGTGTAAGATGTAATGATTAACTTTCGCAAATTAATGTAAAATAGAGTAATTGTATTTTACCTTGAAATTTATGAGCTTTTATGAGCTGCATAACAACGATAATAGGCTGGTTGTTAGAACTTAGCAGATGAGGTACAATTTCATCAACAAACTCGCCCCAAAATGTTGCAGACAACTTCTTCCTCCTGTAAAATAGAAATAAGAATATAATTTTAGCATATGTAATTATCAAATCAATCCTTAATTAGTAGATGAATGTTTATTCTTACTCGTCATCTTCTAGTTCAATATCCATAAACTTCCTAGAATTTCCACCTTGGGTTTGCGTGTGGACCTCACTGAAATTGACAATTTCTCCGATGACATCTAAAGAAAACGAAATTGTTAAAATAAATAGTAGAAAAGTTCATAATTAGAAATGTAGCTTAAAAGTAATATTTACCAAATAATTCAGTCTCGTTCACGTCAACCTTATTTATCAATTGATCATATGGTCGCAAATCAAAGATATTCATTGGGAAAAGTGGATCAGTTGTTTCAGTCACTGTTGTCCGTTGAGTAAACGTCAGCCTCAACATATGTTTCGTGCTGTTGAACTTCTCCTTATTATGACAAACGATAAAGTTCGCCATATGATATAATCCAAGCTCAGTAATTTGTGTTTTGAAAAGATGCAAAACTGACTTGCCAATAGAAGCACTTATCCGATCGCCCTACAAAAAAATAACATTAGATAACAGAGAGTACAAAAATATATTATTAATAGTAATTTAGATTAACTCTAGTTTTAAATAGTAGAATTGAACAAACTAATAAGTGACAGTAAATCTGGAAAAATTCCAGATTTGGAGCAGAGTTCACGACCAAATCTAATAACATGTAGGACTGCACAGAGTATACTGCACTTTGCAACTTGTAATGATAGCAGTTGGTTGTATGATAAAATCATAGAACAATTTCGAGGAGCAAAACAAATGTATCTATAATCATATAACAATTCCGAAAAATAAATCGAATTAGCAAGGTAAAAACATATTTAAAATACCTTTTCATCTTAATTGGAATATTCAGATCATATGCAATTCAGAAGGGAGGATCATTTGAAGGAGATGGATTTTCCTCCCATTGCTTTCGAAAAATACTTTGCTGCAGAGTGCAGCCTAACTCATGTATACTACAGTTTGTTAAACAATTTGAAGTAGCAATTACTAATGTAGCCTATTTATGTTTACAGCATATAAAGATCGAGAAGAAGTACATAGCAATTTACAGGCAAATGTGAAGAAACTCGTCAGAGTAAATTTTAGGCTGAGCACAAACGGGCATAGCTAATCGATCAACAACGGCGGAGATGCATCAAAAACAAATAATCATATAACATATGTAAAATACCTTTCATCTTGTAAAACCAATCCAATCGACAATATAGTGCCTGGATTGAAACGATCCGGTACTTCCCACAAACGAACAACACGAACTTTCAACTTCCATTGCATCTTCGAAATTGTTATATCATTGATGAAATCAATGTGAGTAGCCATCTTTTGCATAAGCGATAATTTTTGTTGAAATCTTGATAGAAGAAGGAACTTTAGAATCGAAGAACGTATAGTTGAGGAAGAAATATAAACTCCTCTACGCTTGAGCAGTTGATAGACAGTATACGAAACGTGGGCTAAGCAGTTGAATCCATCGTGCTTTTGCAGAGAATATTTAGGTTAAGTTGAAGGTAAAAAGTAATTACCTAATATTGTGGAGTAAAAGGTTTTAACTAATAAATTGTTTTAATAATTTTAAAAAATTAAAAAGCAAAGATAATTGAAATAAATTTGAAAACTTTAAAATTGAACAGAAGTTGGAACGGTTTGGACTCATGAATGGTTTGAAATTTACTTCCTAAAAATTAGGAGGTTTTAACTAATAAATTGTTTTAATAATTTTTAAAAATTAAAAATTGAGATAATTGAGAGGAGTTAGAACGGTTTTGACCTAAAAGATTTTGAAATCCACTCCTATTTGTGAGGTAGGCGGCGGTTTTTTTACAAATACAATGTTTTTTCGAAATTCAATGATTTAATAAATGAAAAGAATTTAAAAATTTTAAAATTGGTCAGAAGTTGGAACGGTTTGGACTGATGAATTGTTTGAATTTTACTTCCTACAAATTAGGACCAATGTCTTAATATGCCATGTGTAATTTTATTGTGCTGCCATTTGGCTTCATGAGAGGCCTTTTTCTTTAGCTTTTAATTATAGATAGATAACCCGACACAAATGGTTTGGTTTGATGATTGTAAAATTCGAACCAACCCGACCTATGTACGCCCCTAGTTTTGTGGCTAGAAATTCATATTTTCTAGGGTAAATAGGACAAGCAACTTCACATTAGTCAAACCACTATCCAAAACCAAAATCCACTCTATACTTGAGATGAGTAAAAGGAGTCTATCATGAAAACCACAAACCCACATGATTTGTTTTGGGATATTGAAAGATCACAAAAAAACTCCTCTCAAAAGAAGATCTCTTTATGCCCCCATATCTCCTTCTCCCTCCACCCACTTCAACAAATAGCAAAAATTAAAACCCCATTTCCTTTTCACTCTTAATTAAACCTAATGTGCTAGGGACCAAATGAAACCTTCTCCATCCTCTAATACCCTGTCTATTCTAAAACACTATTCTCTTCTCACATTCTCCTTGGCTCTATCTTGAACAAGGACCCTACATTAACTAGCCTCTTCACCTACTCTCTAAAACCAGGAGAATTCAACCAAATGTTGACAGGTGTCAAATTCTGATCCTGACACGTGTCTGAGCTTCAAGCAAATGTTGGCCCCCACTTGTGCTGACTTGGCAATTCCAATCATGAACAAACATGGGGGTCATCCAAGACCCTAAGCTTTCATACATACACAGCCAAACTCCTATTATTGAACTCATCAAATTAAGGGCTATGGGGGAATGGAATTGAATGGCAACGGGCCCTGAATGATGGATCCAAAAACCAAAGTACAAATATGAGGTGCAATTATTCATGCCATAGAATTCAACTCCCCCAAACAAGTATTTTAAATTTTTAAAAAAATAAGCAAAAGAGGAAAAAGAAAAAGTATCCACAAAAAGTGAAGGAAAAAAAAAAAAAAAGAAAGTAAGCCCCAAAAGCATATAATAAACTCTATCATTTCTAGTAACAAAAACTATACCAAGTTGATTGATATTGATACCAATATCTTATATCCCTTCCCCTCTTCACTTCTTCTTTTGCTACTTTCATTGGCATAAACAAAAGAAAAGAGAATACTTCTCTTTCTCTTTTCTTTTTACTCATCTCTCCCTCTATATATCTCCCCCTTCTTCTCTTCTTTCTTTCTTCTTCTTCTTCTTTTGGAAAACCCAAAGTGAGAGAGCAAGAGCAATGAAAAACGCAATAAGATGCTGCATATCTTGCATACTACCGTGTGGGGCACTTGATGTGATTAGAATAGTTCATGCTAATGGCAAAGTTGAAGAGATAAGTGAAACTCATGTAAAAGCAGCTGAGATTATGAAGCTTTACCCTAAACATGTACTAAAGAAGCCATCAACATCTTATTCCTCAGAAGGAGTAATTTGTCCCAAGATCGTTGTACTTCCTCCTGATGCTGAACTTCAACGTGGCAAGATTTATTTTCTTATGCCAATCCCAGCTTCTTCAACTGACAAAACTCGTTCAAGATCATCAACTACAACAAAGAACAAGAAGACAAGACCTTCATTACCACAAGCTCATGATCATGGGAATATTGGCGGAAATAATGGTAGTAATATGAATGGTAATAGTAATGGTAGTAATAGCAATAATTTGATGGTTTCTAATGATCAATATTTGAGTGAAATTTTGTCGGAGAAAGTCTCAACACAAAGAGATAGAAGAAGAGGAAGAGTTGGTGTATGGAGACCTCACTTAGAGAGCATTTCTGAGAGTTCAAGTGATCAACCTTAAATTAATTGCAAGGTTATTACTACTACTATTTTTCCTTGATATTTATTTTCAGGAATTTTCTTCACTACGGTTTCTCAAGGAAAGTTGGAACCTTTTTTTTTTTTTTTTTTTTTTTTTTGTAAATAAGCATAGAAGAAAGAAAACAATAATATCCCCCCAAAAATTTGTATTATTGTTTGAATTTCGTATTAAATCATTTACTACCTGTTATATTAGAAAATCTACGGTGATCAGAGCAAACTAGATTTGTCCTAAGGTGTAATTTGTGCCGCAATGTTAATGCTTATGGCTTTATTTGGAATTTCGTTTCTTTTAAGAACACATTAACATCAGCTCTATCGTTCTGCTTGTTTACTGGTTTTGGTTCCCCTCATGTGTCGGCATTGACGCAAATTAAGCTCATGTTAAATGTCCGAGTCAATTTCTTCTAAAAAATTATGATACGGTTGGCATTACTAATTTTTTTTATATTTTTATTTGCAGAGTAATTTATATTATAATTTTTATCAGAAAAAAAAACTTAATTATACTAATTTATGCAATTAAGAAAGAAGATTTCTAATATGCATTTTTAAATTAAGAATATCGCCCACCTTAATTATACAAAAGGCACAAGCCGCTTCGTGACTAAATTATTCACCATCCAATTAAATATTTATTTAAATTACAACATAGTAGGCCATGTTATGAAATTTAATTTTGAGGATCAGCGCATCATTAGATCTAATTAAAGTAGTTAAAAGAAAGAAAATCATGACTCATGTGGGACTAAATATTGATTTGCAATTTGAAACTAAAAGAGAAAGGGATTCTTTTTTGGATCATTGCTTGAGACGAAGATTTGCATATGGTCCAAAAGCCTATTAACAACTAGATTATGAGCTAGACTATCATGAACTTTTCCCTCTAAAAAATATACTTTCTATTCTTTATACGAATGTTTGACAATAAACTATATATATTAAGATAATCAGAGGGTACTTTAAGTTAAGTTTGACGAAACAATTGTTCCCACCTCTGTTTTAAAAGGCAGAATTGGGACTCGCCCGGGGTTCGCCCTGGGGCGGAGCACTCGTAAAACGCCCCTGGGCTTATGTGTGGGGCTTAGTTCCATGAGACTTACGCCTCGACTATTGGGGCTTATGCCCCGAACACGCCCAACGCCCAGCGTACTGGGCTCGCCTAATAGAACTTTATGCAATTGTATGTAACTAACCTTGTAAATCCTATCCTCANATTAACCTTGTAAATCTTTAATTTTCTTAATAAATCGTTGACTACTCAAAATTACTTTTTTCCTAAGTATAAATTATTAAGTTGAGAGTATTGTCATAATTAAAATAAAAATTGTTGCACGTTATCTACTAAGACTGCTATGATAGTTAATTTTAAATAAATCTTTCATTTAAAAAGTATTTATTTATTAACTTTTGTTATGTCTTTACTATATAATGGAGTAGTTCATAATTTTTTTATAATTATTTTTCTTTTCGCGTTTACGAGATACAATATTTATTAATTTAATATCTCAATATTAGCTAGTAACTATTTACAAATAATTAGTTATCATGGTATTGTATGGTGAATTATGTGTCACTTTATGAACTTGTTGAAACTTAAAAATGAATGATGCTTGAGAATCACATTTAAATTGTGAATTATATTTTTATATAAATTCTCTTTCAAATAGAAAGCATATTAAATAAAAGGAGTGTTTTAATAAAAATATCAAATTATAATATCGAAATTCTTTCAAAATTCATTACTCCTTAAGAGATACATATAAGATTCGTATCGAATAAATTACTTTTGATGCTTGAGTTGTAACGACATTGCAACTATTTGCACATTATGATATATGTCATACTTTTCGTATTATTGATAGTTGAATTATAATTTATTAATATTTTAAATATATTATTTGTTATAATTTATGATTTTAATGTAATTTTTATAATTAATTTTCATTTTACGCTATCCTAAAATTCTTGAAATTAGTAAAATTTAAAGATCTGTGGGACTTACGCCCCATTTCTCAGGGCTTACGCCTCGCCTCGTCAGAAGTAAAACGTCTCGCCTCACGCCCCCGCCTTTTAAAACATTGGTTCCCACACTGCTTTTGCCCAAGCATAGAATGATAGAATAATGCACTTTTAGAATTGCATTATGCCTAAGTGGAAAACTAAGTGATGAGACTATAATTAAATCTTTTATGCCAATAGCTGGCATCCTTAAAAAGCTTCCTTACCAATGCTTAGACCCTTTCATTTCCTGCAGGGTCAGATTCATTCATTCTTATTATATATATTGACGTAATGATTATTTGCAGTATCACTGAATTTAGCTTGTATAGCATATTAGTTATCATTTTAATAGGTCAATAATTAGCGTTTGATAATAAAATGGACGTTAAATCTAACTTAACTTCAAAAACTAGCTCATGAGGTAACGATCATCTAAGATCATACAAGTTTACACCCATCAGTTAGTTTCCACCTGATGTGAAACTCAACGGTGTTATCATAAAATTTACATGAATTTAACTTATACAGTCAGACATCTCTATAACAGCCTCGTTTGTTCTGAATATTTTTGGATTTATAGCCAAGTGCTGTTATAGAGAACATATATTATAACATAACATAAAAATTGGTTCCGAAAAAGCTTGGCTTTAATAGTGAAGTGTTGTTATATAGGGATATTGTTATAGAGATGTCTGACTGTAAGTGATTAATTGTATAAATGCTTTCTATATCACAATTTAATTGAACTCTTTATTCACTTAATTATTGTTCTTTGGGGGTGGTTATGAAAATGGTTGGTGATCCCCATATATTCGGATTCATTTCAGTTTCTGAAACTCTCTTCCACTAAATTGGGGGCCAGCAAAAAGCTGGCATGATAATTATTTGGAATTTAATCCATTGGATTCATTGATTAGATATCTTGTGAGGGAAGAAAGAATATCAGAATACCGAATTTTGTCAATTCCCATCCAGTTTTCAGGTTTTCCTATTTTAAAGGTTTGGAACCCGCCAACAAAAAATTCAAGAGTGTTGGTTTCATATCTGGATAAAATAAAAAAGTTACATAACTTAAATGATCCGTGAAAATAGTAGATAAGTGTAGATAATTCTTATTATTGACACCGACTACGTTAATATTGAATGGTGATTAGTTGATATATAATGAGCAAGGGGTAAATGACAATAACTACGTGTATCGTGATTCAAACTATAAGTTCGTTCATTGTGTGATCTTTCTCGAACAATGAAAATTGTTACTATCATTTTTTAATTTTTCTTATCAATTTTTTTATTTTATGAAGTGGCTCGAGTTCAACAAGAAATACATTCATTTTATGTAGCTATGTGAAGAGACCTTTTGATCTAAAACTCGTAAATTTTCCATGTTCATAGTTTATGAGAATCCCTCCGGCAAAAAGAAGGATATCTATGTAATGCTCTCCAATTGGATATGGTCAACTCGTCAAAGTAGAATATGAAGAAATATATGACGAAATCTCTTGAAAAAGCCATATTTTTTTTTGTTGGAAAATAGTATTATAACAATGAAAATCTTAATTACATATATCACTAAAGGTTGTGGTGGGTGGTAAGTACCCCTCAATCTTTAATCAGAGGTTTCCCGTTGAATCCCTAGAAATAGAGGCGTCTTTGGTAGCTAGGGAAAACTTTACCTCATATTGAGATTTTAATGCGTACAGTATGGATTAGTTTAGCTCCCAAGACAAGTATCGAACGCCCAGTGAAAAAGCAAAAAGTAGAAGAAAATCACAATATATAAATCATATATAGTTCCACTACGACAAGTATCATGGGTCAAAGTATCAACTTCCACATTCTTCTCTTCTTTTTTTCGGCTCTAAAGTCTTATGTCTTATCTAATTTTCTCCTTTTCTATACTTCATATAGAGAAAAGTACAAAATGAATAAGAACAAGGGGCAACAAGATAATTTAATAATAGGAAATTAAATCAGAGCCTCTACCTGCTGCATATGTGGAGGAAGTCGGTACTCTGTCTCTATACCTTTTGCTAATGGTGGTTTTGTAATGGATTTATTTTCGAACATATATGTGGTCTTTTCTGGTCCATTTGATATTTAATAAATCATAACCTCTAAAATAGTTCAATCTATATATTCTGTCAAATTATAAGAAAATCAAAATATAAAAGAATATACAACTAGGACAAAGATAAATTTGTCACCAGTACTACTTATAAAACGCGGCAGCTCATAAACGGGCTCGAGAAATTCTAACTTTATTCTTCTTTTAAGTATGATTTTTTTCTTTCTGAAATTTATGATTTTATGTATAGAATTATATGGAATGCATTTTCTTCCTTCAACTTCCAGCTCCTTTTGTTTTTCTTTTACCTTCTAATATTCCCCTTTGTTCCCCCCTTGATTAATTCTAATAGTACTTCTTTCGTTAGTTTGTCGGAAAATACCTAAAAGTTAATGAGATGCATGCATAAAGACAGTGAATTAGGATTATAGGGTTAAGGTATTGAAACAACAAAAAATCAAAAGATAGGGTACACAACTAAATTAAGTGCCAAAAGATGCATATTTAAATACTTGTCAACATATTTAGCTGCAATATGACTATACGATGAGGGGCTTATTTAATTTAGAATACGAATTTTGAATTCTTCACCTACTCCACCATATATTGGACTCCTAATTAAGGAGTAATTTACATATCATAACTTGAAATATTCTTTTTGAGAAGACAAAACTTGAGGTAGTTCCAGGTATAGCTCCAATATATCACAGCCACAGGCAATGAACTTGGAAGAAAAAACGAAACATGGATAATTGACCTTTATTCAGAAAGGAAAAGCATAAGTGACTAATTTAATTGTTTTGAGTTTCATTGAATTCTTCTAACTACTTCGAAAAAAAAAAAAGAATTCTTCTAACTACTAAAAATGCCTTACTTTTTCTTTTTCTTATTAATTTAGTTAGTATGTTTTCTTGGTGGGATAAAAGTAGAAGAGTGTATGGCACCTTCTCCACGTTCTCCCATGAAACAGACCAAATCCTTCCCCTCAATTTCTTTTTTCTCTTTGGTATGTTCCATTTACACATATTTTCCCACTATACAGTTTCCTTTTTCTTTTATTACTATCAAGATATAAAGAGGTTTTTATTCATTTATTTTGACTTTAATTGTTTATTT